CCTGGCTTGGGCCCAGCAGTCTGTGGTCACAGTGGCCTGTTCTTCCTTCCTGACCTGGAGCCAGGAGACCTGAACCTTTCGTATGTCCTGCCTTGGGGCCCAGAAGAGTGGGAATTTGCCCAGCCAGCTTGGGAGGTTAGGCCACCTTGCAGTTGCAGAGGCTTGAGCTCAAAGGGGCTCTGGATCTCATCCAGTGTCTATTTTAGAATTGGGGGTGCTGAGGCCCAGAGAGAGGAAATGGCGTGCTCAAGTTCACATGGCCTTGTATGGTGGAGGTGAAACTGGAATTTCCTAGTACCCAGGCCCGGGATCTTTTCTAGGGCCCTATCCTGTTTGGGAAGGGGGGGAGCAGAGAAGCTGAGAACCTAGACCTTGGGGAGCTGCTGCTTTGCTGGCCCTCAGGTTGCCCTCCTTTCTCAGTCGTCCTCCCTTCTGACCCAGGCCTACAGCAGCCCTGTGGGAGGAGTGCCCTAGGGCCCCCCAGGGGTGGTGGAGGACCTCCCTAGGACAGAAAGAGAAGGACCACTAACTCCCAGTTCTTTCAGTGCGTGTCAGCATATTTCAGTGGAGCACGCAGGATGCAAGACACCATAGGGGACGCCAGGAAACAGCACTGATCTGAATTTTCCAGGGGAGGCCACCACCCAGGAGAGGAGCAGAGTCACAATATGAGAGACAGCCTGCAACGGAGGGCCACTTGCTCATGAGCATTGTCAGCACCAAGCAGGTTAGAGCCCAAGGCCAGGGGCCGCTTCACTGAAAAGTAAGGCAGTAAGTAGAAGGAGGCAGGGATGAGGCAAGTCTCTGAAAGGGTGACAAGGAGTAGGAAAGGCATTCTGGGCCAGGGGAAGAGCTGGAGCAAAGGATGGAGCCGAGCTGTCGTTCTGGGTGTGGTAATAGCCACCTGGAGGGGCTGGGGGGCAGGTGCAAAGAGGGGATGGGCCATGAGGCTGGGAAGGCAGCATGGAGCAGCCAGAGCAGAGCCCCAAGGCCTCAAATATCAGGCAGGGCATTTGAGCTTTCTCTCATGGTCAGCGGGACCACCGAAGATAGTTAACCAAACTGGGTGATGTGGTGGCCAGCAGGGGCTGGACTGCCCAGGAAACCCACCCCGACTCTGCCATTATGAGGTGTTGGACCTTGGGCCAGTGCGTTAGCTCTCTGAGCCTGTTTCCTCATCCGTGAAATGGGGGTGGTAACAGTGCTGTTGCAAGGATGACATGGAGCAGTAGTGGGCTGCCTGCCTTGGTAAATGTTCAGAAGATGTCAGCCCCTGCCTTGCCTCCTGGGTAGCATCAGGCTGGGTTCATGGAAGCTGGGATAGCAAGAAGGAAGCCCTTCTGAAAGCAAGAGGAGCTGTAGATAGAGGGGCTATTTTCCTTTTTACTCCCAGTCAGGGCAGATCTGAGCCTGAAGGTACAATTGGTCCAGATGGGCCAGTGGTGAGTGATGAGGGCAGGACAAGAGTCTGGGGCCTGCCCACCTAGCAGAACATCCCTGCCGCGCCAGTGTGCAAGCCTGCCCTAGGTTGTCAGGCCCAAGCAGCATTCCCACTTCTCCTTGGGATAGATTCCCAGGACACTTGAGCCCCAGGGAAGGAAGATCATTTACTCTAGTTGTTAGGAGCAGAAGCTTTGGAGTCCAACAGATAGAGGTTAAAAGCCCTTTGTTCACAAGCCAGTGTTTCAGTCTTGGTTTCTCCTTTCTGAAACAGAGGAATGATGACATCCACCGCAGAAGATGGCCGGGAGGGTTCGATGAGGTAGAAAGTATGTCGCGTGCGTGGTTAGCACAGTGCAGCCAAATAGCTGTCTTCACTCAGGGGACATTTACTGCGCACCTGGTGGATGCCAGGCTCTGTAGCCAGAAGAGGAACAAAACTCTCAGGAAGCTTGTAACCCGGTGTGGGGAGACAGATAAGTAAGCCGTCACCTTGAAACGGGAAGAGACAGTGGAATCGGGGAAGCACGGGGTGTTATGGGAACTGGGGAGGATGAGTGCGCACATGCGTAGGCCTTCTGGAGGAGATACTATTTTTACTGAAATGTGAGGAGGAAATTAACCAGGTTGGGAATAGGGACTGTGCAGGAAGAATGTTCCAAGCAGGGGAGAAGTCACCTGCTGAGTGTTACGTTCTTGGGGTGGACAAGAACTTGTGGGGCCAGGCAGTACTCAGGTAGGAAAACGTGGCCTGGCCCTGAGGTTTTCACAAGCCATGGAGAGGCTATTTCTCCTGGGCTGTGGGACGCAGAGGTGAGAGGACATAAGGCAAGGATGCTTCTCACCATTCAGAGCAGTGCTGCCTGGGAGAATTCAGCCTCCCGTTGTTCTTCCTTCTTCTCTGATGTTCCCCACCCAGTTCCTACTCCCCCATAATCCTGGGGGTCACCAAACCAGGTCCGGTGTGACTGCCTTTGTCCACTGTGGCTCCCATCCTCATGCAGAATGTGCTGTGCCCCGAGCACACTGCTCATCAGAAAGCCTCGGGCCCTGACCCTCGGCCCCAGAGACAAGCCTCAGGGCCATTCCCTGGAGAGGAGGGGAAGTTCCCTTTAACATGACTAAAGAATGTGGTGGAATGGAGGGAGGAGAAGCTTCCCCCGCCCCCCGCCGGGGTGATGGTGGGCAGTGGAGAGGGCACAGCTCACTGCATGGGGTGCCAGGACACTCGGGGTCCATGGGCAGCTATTGGAGGGCTGGATTGGGGGTACTGGAGTGGGGCCATCTGTCTGGGTCCTATTTCCTGACCTCCCCTGTCCCTACTCTCCTTTCTGCAGGGCCGAAGACCCTGCTTTGCTTTGGGAAAGGACTTTGACACATTTTCAAAATAAAAGTGGAGAGAAATCTCCGGAGGGGAAAAAGGATAAATAAGCTTAAAAAAAATGCAAAGGGGGATGTATTAGTTATTTATTTTCAAAGTCGGGGGAGGCCTCAGCCAGCTCCCTTGAGTGAAAGTTTCTAGCCACTCTGACATGAGGTCGCAGAGAGCCAGGAAGTTCGGGATGCGGCACCTGGAGTGTCTTCAGGCCAGATTTAGAATCAGTTCAGCTAATCTAGGGCCACCCTCAGCCTGCCTGCCTCGGTGCTCTGCACTGCAGGGGTGAACACGCAAAGACCTGAATCCCTCCCTCCAGCTGAGGTAGAGGAGCTAGGACAGTGACAACAAGGACTGTTGGGCAACAGAGAGTGTGACAAATGTCATAACAAAAAGGTTCAAATAAGCACCAAGGGGACTGGGGAGGAGGATTCATTTCTGGTGGGTGTGGGGGGAGGGGTACTCAGTGAGGAAAGCTTTCAAGGGCTAGCTGAGTTGAGGCAGACTTTGAAGCCCAGCTAGGATTTTAATGGGCAGATCAAGCAGAAGGCTTTCTAGGTAGAGCAAATAATGTGATCCAAGGTACAAGGTGGGAAATTCTTTAGGACTTTGGAAATAGGGACGTTTGATTTTCTTAATTTATTTAAAACTGCTTTATTGAGGTAATAAGTCATATACTATACCATTCACCCATGTAAAGTACAGTTTACAGAGTTGTGCAATTGACACCACAATCGATTTTAGAAAATATTTATCACTCCAAAAAAAAAAAAAGCCCCATACTCATTAGCAGTCACTCCCCATTCCCCCAGTCCTCGACAACTACCAGTCTACTTTCTGTTTCTATGGATTTACCTAGTCAGGATATTTTGTATAAATGGAATCCTGTAACGCATGGTCTTTTGTGACTGATTCTATCACTTGGCATAATGTTTTCTTTTTCTTTTTTTTAAAGATTTTATTTATTTATTAGATAGAAATAGCATGAGTGGGGGGAGGAGCAGAGGGAGAGGAAGAAGCAGACTCCCCGCTGAGCAAGGAGCCCAACGCAGGGCTAGATCCCAGGACCCTGGGATCATGACCTGAGCTGAAGGCAGACGCTTAACCGACTGAAACCCCAGGCGTCCCCGGCATAACGTTTTCAAGGTTCGTCCATGCAGAAGTATCAATATTTCAGTCCTTTTTATTTTTCCTTTGCCTTCATTCTTCTTTATGGCCAAATAGGATTCCACTACATGGATATACCATATCCACCAGTTGATGGACATTTGTCTTGTTTTCCCTTTTGACATTTGATGTCAAATGTGACATTTGATGTTTTGGTGTAGATGTATGTTTTCAGGACATTCCGTTTGAGTGGAGCCTAGGACCCTCATGGCAGGGAGTGGGAGGGGACAGGGTGAAGCAGAGCAACGGGCTCACCCACTCTGGACTCTGAGTGGTTGGGTGGGGGTGAGAAGGGCAGGCTCCTGTTCTGGCCTCACTGAGAGCCTGTGGTGGATGGGGCCAGGGCAGGGCCATCCCCCACCCGACACACACCCACACGATTGCATCAGATCTGACAGCAGTCTGTGACGCTGGAGATAGCCTGGGCAGCTGCTATTTTCCCTGTAAATCAGGTGCATTTGTCCCCCGTGTCCTGCCGAGGGCCATAATCAGTTAAACACATAGAGAAGTGTGAGCTACGTGGTTAGTCCAGAGGAGGGGAGTTTGTCAACAGGAAGCTGGCCAGCCGGGGGGACGAGGTGGTCAGGAAGCAAAGGTTAATAAGCCAAGTGTAAACCGAGGCTAGGCTCCTAGGCTCCCATCCCTCCCATCCTCACATGGGGGCAGTGGTTTTGTTTACAGGAAATGCTGCAAGTTTCTTACTGGCCCCATCTAACAGATTGGGAAACAGAGGCACTGCATGAAAGGGATCTGCCATTCAGAGACAGAAGCTAAGGTGTCTGGTGCTGCTGTAAGCAGCAGGCTTGGTAAAACCTGGGCCTTACCCTCAGTGCTGTGCCTGTTTTTGAGTTCGCAGGAAAATACAGGACACAAAAACAAGAAAGAGTTTTAGTCTCCTAAACAAGAATACCAAACCTCACCCTAACCCCAAAGTGAAGACACAAAACAGAGCTTTAATTACCATCTTTTCTTCCTTTCCTTCTTTCTTTCCTTTTTTTTGTTTTGTTTTGTTCTCCAGCCAGAAAACATTATGTTGTTAGACAAGAATATTCCCATTCCACACATCAAGCTGATTGACTTTGGCCTGGCTCATGAAATAGAAGATGGAGTTGAATTTAAGAACATATTTGGGACGCCAGAATTTGTTGGTGAGTTTTAGGCCTGTTTCTCTCCCACAAAAGCATCTGGGATCAAAAGGTAGAGAAATTCCGGGAATAAACCCTGTGTCTAGGGCTGTGGTCTCTGGGCTGAGAGGTGGTGGCTTGGAGAGCCCCCCCCCCGCCCCGGCCTTAGAAGTAAAATGTCCCGCTGGTCTTCTGGGTAAGAGTTCAGGTGCTGGCTTTGAGCACCCAGTCAGGGAGGGGGAGGCCAGGTGGGGCTACAGGTCTTTGCCCAGTCAGATCCTCCCGGAGCTGGCCCCACCCCCTGCTCTTAGTTGAATTTATTGTGAAGATTTAAAATTACTTCGCCCTCTGGCATTCCCAGAAACTCAAATTTCTCTGGAGCAGCTTTTGATTTCCTGAAAAGGAAAAGGGAAATCATCTGCCAAATGCCAGATCCACCCACTCACCTCTCCTGTGTGCCTGGCCTTTATTCGTGCATGGGGGGGGGGGGCGCCTCCTGGAGCAGGGCCCTGGCAGCTCTGTCTTCCCTCTGCTTCTCTCAGCCTTGGCTCAGGCCCCAGAAACCCCCGCATGGGACTGGGGCTGCAGGTTGGGGGTCCTAGAGAGACAGCCTTGCAGAGGGGAGAGGAATGAGAACTGAGGACCACCGTCTCTCTGCTTTGGGAGTTGGAGTGGTCTTGGAAATGGAGGGAGGGCGTGGTCTGCCCAAAACCTGGAGGCGGAAACTTCTGACCACAGTCTAATCAAAAACGAAAATAGAATGTGTCAGATCATCCATTCTGATGGATGTTCAGGTCACACGTAACAGCTCCCC